AGAATTTCCCTTTTGTACATAAGAGCAAAATAGGATGCACTCAAATGGAGGTTTTAATAAAACAGCTTTTGTTTCAGAGTGAAGAAACAACTTGTCTTAACTTTATACTTTACATACAGCGATCTTATCTCGTCTTGAAAACCAAAAGGGATGCTACACCACTTTTTTTCCATTGAATTTTTTGTCATTGAATTGTTTTATTGTTTTGACTTTATCAGTATTTAGTTTGTTCAGCCCTAATTTTTAAAATTTATGGAAAAACTTTACCTGTTGAGACACTCTTCTTCCCCATTTATTATTATATAGCTATTATTTTCATATAGCTTTGAATCATAGTAGGTGAAGTTAGTAATTTTTTAATCATCTCTTACCACCCCCTGTAAACCCTGAACGTTTCCTTAAGTAAAGCACATGCTTAACAACTGCTTTCATGACCAAAGTTAGTAAGACCATCCATCTGTTATGCAGTACTGTCCAGAATAGTCTTGCCCAGGTGGCTCATTTATCAGCAGATGCCTTTACTTCTCCCTTTTGGTCTGCTCCCTCTGTTCCTGCCTGCATCCATCATTTAAACCATTTTGTCCTTTTTGGTAAAGAACATCTGATGTTCTCTTTCAGAGTTGAGTTCCGAGAACCTGCGTACCTGCTTTCAGATCGTTAATGCCTACATGTACTTATCTGCCCCAGAGTTCCTGCAGGTGAGATATACACAAGTGAAACACTTAAGAAAACAAACTCACTAGTGCAGTGCATCATATACAGTATAAGTTCCATGTATATTAAAAATTGTTTCCAGAATTATGCAGAATCGTTGTGTCGATCCTTCTGTGATCTGCTGAGAGACATCACGAATGAGGGCCAGGTCCAAGTGCTCAAGGTATTGTCACTGCCTTCCTCTCATAACAGAGCTATATTGCTTCTGTTTGTTCTCTCCCTCTTTTTTCAGAGTTCATTTTTATTCTCTTAAGTTCCACCAGATTGTTTGTTTGTTTGTTTAACCTATGTGGCCCGCAATAGAGCCGATGCATTAGACGTGGCATAAAATGGTCTATACATAGGCACATAGTCATAAACAAACACAGACTATGCTGCTTGTGAATTGTTATAAACCCTTGATATACTCACAACAAATAAATTATTTGAGTTACATGTTACAGAGGGTACCTCAAACAGCCATCTCTTCATCTCTGTCCGGCCAGATGCTTTTAAATATAACATCAAAGTGATGGATTTGGGAGAGACACTAACAAGGCTGTAAACTAATAGTGATGAGGTTAATGTTAATTACAACTTCTTAAATCAGTTATTCAGGAAAGTTGTTTTTGTTCAAGACATTTCTGAACTGTTATGTCTTGGTACTCTTGGATTTGATGTGTATGTGTGCACACATGAGCATACACATGTGCCTCTGCCTGAGTTGTCTTGAAAGAAGGTTGTATATGTGATATTTGCCCTGCTTGAGTAGTATATGCACTACAGCCATGAGGTCTTTGAGTTTCATCTTATAAAGCTCAGTGGCAATATTGCACATCTGGCTCCTCGTAATCCTTTGTTTTGAGCAAGCAGACAATAAACCTACCAACCTGCTGTACACAACAGCTCACTTCACTGAGAACAGAGGCATCAGAGTACTTGGTATGCATTTCTTTGAAAGGTTCATATGCATGCAGTCTTAAATAGACAGTTATGAGCATCTCACTGTCTGCTTCTGTGCTTCAGCTTCAATCACTGACATACGAGCACAGTGATGCATACCACTACCACACTACTGTCACTTTATCTTTTACTCTGAAATTTTTATTTAGTCATACTGTAAGTTGTGGTTTTGGTCATTGTTGCTTAAGCTGTTGATTTTTTTTATTCAGATATTCATTTTATTTCAGCTTTAATGCCTGACAGAGAGGTTATTCAGTTTTTTTTTGAGAAACTAAAACTTAAGGGGACTAACCTTGCCTGCAACATAGTGTAGGTCAGAGAGGATTCTTTGCTATCTCTCTAAAATGAAGCTCTTATGAACGCCGTGCGTGCCTTGCTACTGTTCCTTTCTTTCCTCTCTCGAGTCAAGTCCCTTATGCTCCTTCTTTGTGTTTGCAGGTGGTAGAGATAGCTTTAAAGGTTAGCCCCATACTAGGAGCGCATATGTTCCAGCCCCTGCTGCCAGCTGTCTTTAGAGGTATTGTGGATGGCGAGGTGAGTCTGGGCTGGGACTATATAAAAGGGCAAACTTGTAAAGATATGCTGTATTCTCTGCAACACATTTTACTAATAGTTGTCATGTCTTATTAAATGTTTAGATTTTTAAGCTTATTACGTCCTAAAATACTTCCTTAAAATGAGAAAGTTCTAGTCTGTTCTTCAATTTTGTCTCTTTGTCACATGAAAATCTTATGGAAACTATATTTTGGCACTTATTGATCAACTCAGTTAAAGACCTATTTTCTCCCCTCTATTAAGCTTGATAGCCTGTGCTTTATGTGAAAGCACTTGTGTGTGGGCATGCTTCTGCAGCTCCGTTTATGATTGTGTATTTACATTGTGTGTGTATGTTGTGCAGCGATATCCCGTGGTGATGTCCACCTATCTAGGAATCATTGGCCGAGTCCTGCTCCAGAACTCCAGTTTCTTCTCCTCTTTGCTCGCTCAAATGGCCTCTGAGTGCGGCCAAGAGGTGAGGCTCGCTGTCTGCCCTTCATCTGTCTTCTCGTGTCTTTGAATGTTTGAGACACATAACTGCAAAGTGCCTGTTAAAAGGGGATCATTTTGAACAAGGCTGAACTAATGAACCAAGGAATTGCAAATGGTAACATTTTAAAACTTTAAAGTATAGAATGGTCCCCCTTTTCTCTGAAATTCTTAGTGTGTCATTGTTCTTTTGTGACCTAGAGCAAAATTAATTTAGCCTTTTTTGACATTGCTGCCTTAATCTAAATAAATTAAGGACCCAGAGTTGCTCTCCAAGTTGTTGTTCCGTCTTGCCAAGCTCTACTTTTTTGATGATGGAGGACAAAGCAGGGAGCTAAATGAGGCAGAACAAGCAGGGAAGGTCAACTCTATTGACTTTTGTAACACCGAAAGAACCATATTTTTAAATATTAAAGTAAAATTGGTGTGCTTGTATACTTTTATCTTGCATTGTCAGACATTGTCACTCTTCTTGACCTCTCCTTATAACTGTATAGCTGCTCCTCTGTCTCCTCTTCCCTCCTCTGTACTAACGCTCTCTTCCTTCGCCCTTCTCTCCCTCACCAGATGGACCATTTGTTGGGCAGTGTGATAGAGATGTGGGTTGACCGCATGGACAACATCACTCAGCCTGAGAGGAGAAAGCTGTCGTCACTGGCTCTCCTTTCCCTCTTACCATCTGACAATAGGTGAGAAACATTTATCATTCATTTATGTGCAGATGGGGCTCTGAGCTGGTGAAAAGTAGCACCCAACCTGTCGACACAGCTCATGTAAGTGCTCATAAGGGGAAAGTAAAAAAAAAAAAGGTTTACATACAACCACGCTAAACATTATATTATGTCTAACTTCCCAACTCTCCCCCTGGACTAGATGTCCAAGTCTGTAATGAGAAACCTGCAGAGTGACTTTGTGATTGTGTGGGTTTACACCTGTGAGTTAAGTTTGTTCATCCATTTGTAACTGTGTGTGTGATTATTTGAAATTCTGTGGGACCACCAGAGCTGGGTGGCTCTGTAAAATGTAAATAAAAACCGAATGCAATGATTTACAAATAATTTAAAACCTGTATTTAATTGAAAATGGTACAACCGGAATGTATCAAATGTTGGAGGTATTTCATAGTTTTTTGACAAAATGCATGCTCAGTTTAAATTTGATACCGGCATCATATTTCAAAGAGTTGGGGCATGGGCATGTTTACCATTGTGTTGCATCACCTCTTCTTTTCATTAGTTAGGATTTTTCTGGACATGGAGAATAAAAAGGGAAAAAATAAAAAAGGAATTATTGCTCATGTGCAGACCACATAATGTAGGCGAAGTACTTCAATATTTTGTCAGTCAGGACTGATTGGTATTGTAGAAGTGTGTTATATAAAAATATTATATTTCTGGATAAATGACAGATCTTTCCTTGTTTTGTTTTGTAGTGACAGTGGTTTGTTACTTTCCACATTAACATTTAAATTCCTTATCTTTACCTCTTCAATCTCAATGTGTAGAAGAAGAAAAAAGTCTACCTGTAATATGCACTGTCCTTGTACAGTGGTACAATGAACACTCCTACTGCGTATTGCTTCAAAGCTTGAATAGAAACTGCACAGCTTAGACGGCTGTGAGCCAGCTGTAGACATCTGATACATATAGTAGAAAAGTAATTGTTTAGGTATTTCTTATTACTCATTGCTGGTTTTTGAACTCCATTCTGGCAGTCAGGAATGAGAGAGAAATAATGTTTCTTTTAAAAACCTATGTGTGTGCTTCGTTTGCATAGTGGATGGAATATTGTCTGAGAGTTGTTGAAAGTATAAGGAATATAATTACTAGATTGGAGTAGTAGCTTCTGTTGCTTCTGGCTTTGATCATTTACTGTATTTTGTGTTGCAACATCTCTCAAATTCATGTATTTTCTGTATTCTTATGACTGCATTGTTTTATCAAGTTTATCAGATGAACTGCCGAAAGAGAAAACTGTTTTTTTTTTCACTTTCACATCTCGTTTTTATTAAATCTGTCTACTTTCTTTTTGTGATTATTTCCATTCTTCCAACAGTGTTCTGTTTGGCCTTTTTGTAAGATAAACTTTGGAAGGACTGATACCCAATTAGCACCGACTTTTGTGTGATCTAGGGGCACTAGATTGAGTCATTTTATATTTAACATGCACAGCATGAAGTCATTTTCACAGAAGACTGCTTTAGTTTAGTCATCAGAACCTCTTGTTCAGCTTTTTTTTTTTAAATGTTGTACTAGTTCAGTTTGCTTTTTGTTGGCAAACCTTCTGTTAAATGCTGGTACTCAGCAAGATGCACATCTTTATTGCCTGGATGTGCTGTGGCCACATTTTGTCCACTTATGATTACAACAGTGTCATCTCAGAGTTGGTACATCATATTTAGAAGATTCACATTTTCTTCTTGTATAGTTGAAGTACTTTTTGTGATGAAGTGTTGATTAGCTATTATATTTTGTCATTTCATTAAAATTTTTATATTAATTTAGAATTTGATCTGCTCTGCTTTGGTGATAAATGTAGTTTATTATCAGTGTCATGCAGCCCATGAAGATTTAGATGCAAGGCGGGTGAGCACGCCTACATTAGCTTGCAACCCTAAGCAAACATTATGCAGTTTGTTGCCTTTAATTGCTGTTTTTGCTCACACTTTTTAGAAATTTATTTAGGTTTGATATGAATTGCATGCTGGGCAGTACAGCGGCATGGTAGTTAGCGCTGTTGCCTCAGAGCAAGAAGGTTCTGGTTTCGAGCCCGGGCTGACCCGGTGCCTTTCTGTGAGTTTGCATGTTCTCTGTGTTTGTCTACATGTCAGCACTGTGATAGACTGGCGACCCAGGGTGTACCCCACCTCTCGCCCAATGTCAGCTGGGACAGGCTCCAGCCCCCCACGGCCCTATTCAGGGATAAGCAGTGTAGATAATGAATGAATGGATGGATGAACTGCATGCCCCATTGTTTCAGTGAAAAGCTGAAGAACCTTTAGGCTGTAAAGTTTAGACAATCTTAAGTCTTGAAGCACTTATCACTTACAGCATCAAAGCATTTGGGCTATTTTTGGGTCTAGTCTAATAAGCTGTGCTTGACAGCATAAAATGTGATCAGTAATGCTTATTTGAAATCCATTTGCAGCAAACTCATCAGGAACATATATAATATGTATACGGATGTGGTTAAATGTGTTGATACCTTTACACTCCACTGAAACAGTGTTCAGTTTTCCTGAGAAGTGTTAAATTAAAAGCTCTTTTGGTTTACCGGAGAATAAAAGAAATAAGCGGTGAATGAACCAAATTCTTACTTATTCTACAAAGACCTTCAAAAGCTGCCTTTATAATATTAATGGTACCCCTTAAAAGTGGATTGTAATGATATTACGATTGTCTTCATTTTGTATCACAGTTGTCTTCAATCTTAGTTATTCTGCTTATTTAGTTGAGAAGTTGTTATTGTGCTTTTTGGTATCCTTTTTTGTGCACCACACTGAACAGAGATGAGAAAAAAAGATGAGAATTCTCTGAGAAAATAAAGATGAAAATTGCCAAACATAAAGGCTACAAGACTATCTCCAAGCACCCTGATGTTCCTTTGACCACATTTGCTAATATTTTAAGATGTTTAAGGTCCGCAGGACTATAGCCAACATCCCTGGAAATGCCATCAAGAGGAATATTGCAAGTAAGAAAAAAATACACTTGTTAAATGAGCATACACTTGCAGAAAATTGATCATTTCAAGTTTTGCCTGCAGTCTGTCTTCCACCGTAGTGGCATTCTTGCAACCTGCTGTCGACCGTCGTGCTTTTACGTCAGCCGGCTAATTTGTTTAAACTATCCTGGGCTTCGGCCCTGCTGTGGAAATGCACATCACATTATGTTTGAGGGTCTTTTATCCTAGGGACAGTTCTTGGGCTTTAAGTCCTAGGAATAAAAAGTACCAGGGACTTTGTGGTGGAAATGCAGCTCATGTCTCAGTTGAATGTTATTGATCCACAGCATAATGACCCAAGATGTAAATCTAAGCACCCATTAATGGGTGAGATCATTGGAAACTTCTGAAATGGCCTGCTGTGAGTTCTGGCCTTAATCCAGTTGAATAGCTTCTGTATGGAAAGAGCTGAGACTTGCAACTGGGAGACAGTGCCCATCAAATCTGAGAAAACTCAAGCAGCTTGCTCGAGAAGAGTGGGCCTTTTGAGAAGTGTAGAAATCTCATTAAGAACCACAAATACCATCCAATTGCAGCAGCATCCTAAGAAGGGTGTGCTGCAACATGTTAAGGGCCCCATTGCATTTGCCCATGCCATTTTTATGTCATGTAATTTAAAATGGTATGTTGCATTGAAAATCCAAAGCAACTTACTGTACCTTTTTTTTGTTGTTAAATAGAGAATAGTGGATGCCAACCACTTTTGACAGCTTGAACTTGTTTCAGAGAATTTGTTTTTAAGTAAGAAACAAGGAGAAGAACTGTCGAGAGAACATATAGCAGTGTGGCACTGCCTTTCTTAGGAGAGATTCTATCGTGATCCATTATTGCCATTGACCATACAACGAAGATGTGAATTTAATATGATGAAATATTTGTTTGCTGAATAAAAATCTGTGCTTTGTTTTGGAAAAAAAAATGATGTGGGGCAGAAATAAACAGAAAAAATATTTTGATGTGCTGCCCTCAGTGGTTACTGTGCCCCGCCTCCTTGCAGCCACCTTTTGTTTATGGCGTGAAGACAACAGACACAGTTGATTCTGATGTCTCTGCATGCAGGCTGTCAGTTTTCAGATCATGTTTCCACTTAAACTGATTTGAATGGCGGGCACAAAGCAGTAGCATTAGTCAGCCATTAGAAGATAATCACTGAAGAGGTGTTGCTCTGGATAGAATTAGAATTGACAGACATGTTTAAATGTGCGATAAGAGATCTGTAATATGCCTGGATCCAGCTGTTGCTATGGCTGCCGATTTGAGACTATTGTTAGGAAATTGGAGGCAGAGGTATATGCAGGGATGTATTTTACACTCCCAGATTATTACTAGTGAAATGTTACTGACTGCAAGAAGCAACAGTTTATAATTCACTTGAACACATTATATTTTTTAGTTCAATTAGACATTTCCCACAGTATTTGTTAACCTTAAATTTCTTTTCTTCTACTTCTGCACTAGGACTTTTGATCTGTGGAGTGTGTGTTTGTGTATGTCTGTATATGACTCTGGAGTTTTAGAATATAGGGTTGTAATTGCAGATGCTTGATAAACCCCTCAGTTACTGTAGCTCAGCTTTCACGTTATTTCACTCTTGATGGCAGTGTCTAAAGAAATAGCATGTACTGTATCTAACTGTTGTATGTGGAAAAGTTTTTTTTTAATCCTATATAAGAGACATGTCTGCGTTCTCTGCTGATTATATGTCTGTCATTCACTGATTTTCCATGTTTTGCTAAACTCGGCGACCATTATGGAGCATTGCCCAGGGTCTACCAAGTACTGGAACTGACAGAACCTTGTCTTTGTATTTTTTCCTTCCCTGCATTTTACCTTTGCTTTTAAATAATCGGTGACTGCTGTTCCTCTCTAAGCTCGGGTGGTGTGCGTGTTGTTAGCCAGCATATTTTAAAGATTTCTGGTTCAGCCAGGCAGCCATGCTCTACATTGCTGCTTCTCTGCAAAAAGAATAAAAAAAAAAATACACAAACTCTGCAAGATTTTTATTTTTCATGCTTATTGTGTTGATTGATCAGGGAAATGGGGACATGTTTCTGTAGGGTTGTGGAAGGAGAAAACAGCAGTGTGCTGTTATCCATATAATGCTTTGGGCTTTTTTATGTTGTGGTAAAATGTTTATGCCAAGAGTGCATGTAAGGAATAGAGATGGAAAATGTGAACTGATGAGATCCATGAAAACAAACACCTGGATGTGTGCTGTGATGTCAGCTGATGCATGACATACCTGTACATTAGATGCCCTTTTCTCTGGATGGCTGTTGGTTTTGACAGCTGCATTCAGCATTGCCAGAATTTAGTTTAGACCTCAAACATCCGCTGTGATGTTGCTTTTGATGATTTTCTTGTTTTTGACAAATCCCCATCTCTGTCTACATCTCAGTCTCTGATTTAAGCACACGCATGCACACAAACACAAAGCTTGTTAAATTAATAATCTCATGATTGCTGAGCCTGCATCTTCTCTGTGTTATCAGTGTGATCCAGGACAAGTTCTGTGGCATCATTAACATCTGTGTTGAGGCACTGCATGATGTAATGACAGAAGATCCGGAAACAGGCACCTTCAAAGAGTAAGTATGCATGATGAGAAAACGGAAAGAAACAGTTGCATAAATACTTCAGTCACACAGGTTAGACCTTCCAGTCATCCTTTTCACAAGCGAATGAAGTTTGTAATTTTGACAAAGCTCATGCATGATGAATGAAGACTTAAAATATTAGTCTTAAATACTTGATTCTGTGCAATTTCAGGTGTGCTTTTAAAGCTTATCCAAAACAAATCTTTGAAAAACAGTTCTAGGAAATAACTATATAGAAGAGCAGTCACTTACTCATGGATCCTGACAGCTCTGCTGAAGGAGGCTGAGTGGTGGTGCTAGACCAGTCTTATTTCTCTACAAAAAGAGTGGCCTGTGCATTTGCCCAGTAAATGCTAGCTCGCTATGGAAGGAGAGTCCCGCCAAAGTCTACCTCTTGAACTCTGAATCTGCTCTGCCCTGCCAACGTCCTCTCTGCCCACATGGTTTTCATTTCGTAGAAGATGTTATCCTACATGCAGATACCCCTTTTCCCCTTTTTTTCTTCTGGCAAAAATGCTCAGCACCTTCCAAAGATGTGCTACTATAAAATGAACTGAGAAGTTGGATAGAAAGGTTAGTGCATGTGTTTTTTGTATTTGCCAGTGATGTGTTGGATTGTTTTGATTCCCCGCTGTGCATCATAATGGACAGGAACATACTGTATTTGCGGATGGGTGTTTCCTCTGGGTTTTAGTCCATGTTTGTAAATGCAGTCAGATGTGACAGGCAGCACTGGGTTTTGCTATCTTCTTGTCTGTATTTAGCAACGTTTCAATTGAACAGACTTCTTTTCGTCCTGTCATCATAATTCAGTAAAATAACATGCCATTTAGCAGGTCAGTTCAGTAGGGTGCTTTAACTTCTCACCTGTCTACTAGGTAATTAGGAATGAGAATAGTTCCAGTTGTAGTTCAGCACACTTCCATCCATCCATTTTTTTCCGCTTATCTGGGACCGGGTCGCGGGGGCAGCAGTCTAAGCAAAGATGCCCAGGCTTCCCTCTCTCCAGACACTTCCTCCAGTTCCTCCGGGGGAATGCCAAGGCGTTCCCAGGCCAGTCGTGAGACATAGTCCCTCCAGCGTGTCCTGGGTCTTTTCTGGGGCCTCCTCCTGGTGGGACATGCCTGGAACACCTCCCTAGGAAGGCGCCCATCCGAAACCGATGCCCCAGC